CACCTCACTTAGAGAACTTTGGTGGTTTATTGAAAACAAGTTAATATGAAATCTTAATGGAGAAGTAAAGACTTTGCTTAACGAAGTATAGTTTGTATGCGATACATGATGATAATGAAACAAGCTTAAATTGTGTATAACTGATTTGAGAAGTACATATTGAATCAATGGATGTAAACCAATTCCCAAAAAGTCTATTCATCTGAATTTCATCTTTCGTTAGTTTATGCATTTACTTTTCGTACTTACAAACCAAACAAATCTTGAAACTTATGCTTAGAATTGTAAGAATTATTGTACAATTTTGAAATCGCTTTAATCCCCGCAGATACGATAAAACAATACTTTCATTTGATTTTACACAACATAAACTAGTCAAAGAAGTTGTCTCCCACATTTTATGCTAATAACTACAAGCCGCAGACTAAGGAAAGTGACGTTTCATACTGTTCCAAACCTCTCTTGAATATATCAGTTGGAAATCAACCGTTGGAAGTAGAAAATAATTTTTTATCCTTAGAATGACTCTTTTTGAAGGCTATAAAAGGAGATAAATGAAATGAAGAAAAGTGATGAAAAGCCATGGAAGCAGATGTTGTTAGAGCTGATATGCTGAACATGCTGAAGCTAACCAAAAAGAAAGAAAGAAGATAAAGAAGAAGAATTCTACAAGATGATACTCAAATTCTTATCAAATACATCTTAGTAGAAATATGAAGAAACAATGAGTTGTCGCTCATAGCTTGGTCAACTATGAAGATGAAGACAAGAAGACTACAAGATGCTACACTTAAATTTTAGATTATATTCATCTTTGTAGAATCATGTAAACACAAGAGTTGTTGCTAATATTGTAAAAGTTCACTCAACCTGAACTGAATCGAATCAAAATTATTGATTTGATATACTGTTTCAAAATTTCAAACTATACCGAACTACTTGAAAACAATTTTTCTTGAATTGAACTGTTAAACTATTAAAAAAAAATTAAAACATAATTTTAATATTTTTTCATTTTCAATTTTAATTCGATTCGATTTTAATTTCTATTCAGTTTGATTTCAGATTCAGTTCAATTTTAAAAATATTTATATAGTATAATTTGATTCACTATCCAAATATAATAATTTAGTTATTTTAAGCTGAGTTTAATTTGGTTCTAGAGTTGAGACAACCTAACGATTACTTACTGTTTTGTAGTTTGTCTCTCCAAAGAATAAAATTTGAAATTCTCATTTTACAATTGACTCTCGTAGCAAAAGCAGAGCACTGAAAATCATTTGATGGAGAACTAGAGCCCAACCGAAACCAATGAAACCAATTCACTTCAATTCCCTCCGCCACTTCGCCACCAATTACACCGCAAAAATCACCTCCACCTCCCCCACTGGCCGTTCCCTAGCAGCCGAAGTAACACCACCACCACCCCTCCCCTCCGACATCCGCGGCTACTCCCTCCCCCGCCACGACCTAGTCTGCAAAGCCACCCAAATCCTCCTCTCCACCACCAACCCCCATCCCACCAAACAAACCACTCTCCACGACCCCTTCTCCGACCTCTCCGAATATCTCCAATCTCTCTCCATCTCCCTAACCCCTCTCGAAGCTTCCGAAATTCTTAAATCCCTCAAAAACCCTTCCCTCGCTTTAAAATTCTTCCACTTTTGCCCCTCCCTTTCCCCCAATTTCCGTCATGACTCCTTCACTTATAACCGAATGTTCCTTATTCTCTCCCTATCGTCTTCCCCGCTTCGATTCGAGCAAACCGAATCGCTTCTCGATGATCTGGAGCGGCGCGGATTGCGTGGCTCTATATCAACGGTTAATATTCTGATTGGTTTTTTTGGTGATTTGGATCGTTGTGTTGGGTTGGTTAAGAAATGGGAGCTTAGACTTAATGCTTATACTTATAAGTGTTTGCTTCAAGCTTATTTGAGGTTAAGGGATTCTGATAAGGCTTTTGATGTTTATTTGAATATGTTGAGACATGGTTATCAGTTGGATATTTTTGCTTATAACATGCTTTTGGATGCTTTGGCTAAGGAGAATAAGGTTTGTGTGTTTCTTTGATTGTTTAGTTGCTTTGGTGTTGTTTCTTTTTTTTAATTTGAATTTGTTTGATTCATTACAATACAATGCATGTTTTTAAGAGAGATAAATGAAGATTCTTACACCCTTTTCGATTAAGTTTGATTCTTTAGGGGCATATTTAGAGAAGTTGTGTTGGATCGTGGACTGGGATTATCTTGATTTATGCATTCGTGTGACGAGGCATTTTGAAAAGCTTAATTGTACTTATCTTATGACATGGGCACTTGTGAAATGTTTGGAAAAGTTGAAAAATAGCTTATGACCCTGCTTTAAACTTGTTTTCATAAGCCTACAGCAGTGTTATCAAATAGCGGCGCCATGTCCGCTGTGGTGGATATACATGCCAGTTTTTGGGTTCGTCGCAATGGTAAATATTGGTTGATATTGCGGGTTTTTCTACCATAATCCGCTATGTTGGCGTTGAAAAGCGGACGGTATGGCGGAATTTTGGCTCTCGGCCATCAACAACACTGGCCTATAGAAATAAACTTAGATGGTTTGGGCATGTAGAGAGAAGACCCGTAGATTCTGTGGTATGGAGAGTAGAACAGATGGAAAGGAGTCAAATAGCTAGAGGTAGAGGAAGACCTAAAAAACTATAAGAAAAATATTAAGAAAGATCTTGAGATTAATGATTTGGATAGAAGCATGGTCTTCAATATAACATTTTGATGAGAGTTGATCCATGTAGCCGACCCCACTTAGTGGATTAAGGCTTGGTTGTTGTTGTAGTATCTGTTTCTGGAAATATTTACACATACATAATTACTTACATGACTGTAACGTTTCCCTGCAAATTCGAGTGAGATTAGTGTGTCTAGTGAGATTAGTGAAATAGATTGATGAACGGCTAGTTGAGCTCTGATGGTTTTGTAAAATGTGTTTGAGAAGTACGATTTACTTTTGTTGGTCCTGTTTACCAATTATAGTGTGTTTCAATATTTTGGCAGGTGGATCAAGCATATAAAGTTTTTGAGGACATGAAGCGAAGGCATTGTGAGCCTGATACGTTCACGTACACCATTATGATAAGAATGACTGGGAAATCCGGCAAAACAAATGAGGCGCTAGCACTCTTTCAGGTGATGTTAGAAAAGGGATTTACTCCAAATTTGATTGCTTATAATACTATGATTGAGGCACTTGCCAAGGGCCGGATGGCAGACAAGGCTGTCCTTCTCTTCTCAAAAATGGTGGAAAATGATTGTCAGCCTAATGAATTTACGTACAGTGTGCTTTTGAATGTTCTGGTCGCTGAAGGACAGCTTCATAAGCTGGATTATATTGTGGAGATATCAAAAAAATATATGAATAAGCAGATATATGCTTATTTTGTAAGGACTCTAAGCAAATTGGGTCATTCCTCTGAAGCACATAGGTTATTTTGCAACATGTGGAACTTCCATGACAAGGGTGATAAAGATGCTTACATGTCCATGCTGGAGAGTTTATGCAGTAGTGGTAAAATGACAGAAGCAATAGATCTTCTTAATAGATTTCACGAAAAGTGTATAACCAGTGATACTATCATGTATAATACAGTATTCTCGGCTCTTGGCAAGTTGAAACAAGTAGCGCATATCCATGACCTTTATGAAAAGATGAAACGCGACGGCCCTCCACCAGACATATTTACATACAATATTCTGATTTCCAGCTACGGGAGAGCTGGAAGAGTTGACAGTGCTGTTAAAATTTTTGAAGAGCTAGAGAATAGTAATTGTGATCCCGATGTCATTTCCTATAACAGTTTGATCAACTGCCTCGGAAAGAATGGAGATGTTGATGAAGCTCACATGAGATTCAAAGAGATGCAAGAGAAGGGATTAAATCCTGATGTTGTAACTTATAGTACACTTATTGAGTGCTTTGGCAAGACTGATAAAGTTGAGATGGCGTGTAGCTTGTTCGATGAAATGATTGCTGAAGAATGCTCTCCTAACTTAGTAACATATAATATTTTACTCGATTGTCTTGAAAGGTCTGGAAGAACTGCCGAGGCAGTGGACCTTTATGTGAAACTTAAGCAACAAGGTCTGACACCAGATTCAATAACATATGCGGTGCTTGAGCGATTGCAAAGTGGTAGGCACGGGAAGTTGAGAGTTCGCAGGCAGAATCCAATTACTGGATGGGTTGTTAGTCCTTTGTGATGATATAGAAAACTTTATACATTCATTCGGCAGGAATTCCTTTTTATTAGGCCTTCTGAGGGTTCCTTGTCTAAAGTTACTATAGCTGTGCTGTTGAGTTGAAGAAGATATATGGTTATAGCCATTTGGTGCGGGTTGACACTCTTGTTGGCTGGGCAACATACTCAAGTTTTTCTGCAATGGGATTTGTGAAAAGAGTATGCTTTCTTTCTCTTATGAATCTCATATAGATTCTGATAATTTAATTCATAATAGGATCTGTTATCAAGCTCATACTAGATATGTCATCATAGAAAAGTTGTAAATATAATTCTTCATTTTTACATGAATAGGAACAGGAAAAACCTAGTATTGGAGAAAAGGGGAGAGCTAATTTTTCTTGGTTTTATATGTGAGCTTTCCAAGCTTGTACCCCAAGTATACAATCCTATTTGAGTCCTCAATCGGCATTAAGTATTGAATGGGGAAGAATTTGGTCCTAAAATGTTGTTTTTTTCTTTTTCTTTTCTATCTTTTTATGCATACTAGGGGCTTATTTAGACCTAACCTAAAATCCACATTTCTTTGACTTTTCTTCTTTCTCCCTCACTGTATTTAGGAGATTTATTTACCCTTTGAACAAAAAATTTGTATTTCAATTACAGCAAAAATGATTGTCACAAACCAAAAAGATTATTGTGTATAAAAGATTCCAAACAATAACAGTTCTCTATTACATGTATTCAAATCAATCAAAAGCACATCCATTCAAAAGGTTCACCAATCTATACCCAATCCTCTTTCGAGAAAGATCTTCTCAATATATTGAAGTAGAGACGGGGATGCCGATATATAAGTTTCCATCAGGACCTTTGCTGCAGACTCTGTAGCAATATCAAAAATATTGTTAATATCATAACAACAATAGTTAAAGTTTTAAGCTTAAGTACATATTTAAACTGATGGTAGCAAATGTTATGCTATACTTACCATCTTCACCGAGTTTCCTATATAGCTGCTGCTTTGTGGGAATATAATTTAATCTTACTGAAACAGCTTTTCTGAGGGCCCAACCATGATATGAATTAAAAATTTGTGTATAAGCCTTAGAAACTGCATCTCTTATAGAATTTCCCCTGTCAGAACACAGATCGGAACTTTATTTACTATAACTGTTAAGTACTACCAAACTAAACAAAATTGTAAAAATATTAAACAAAAAAGACTATTATTGAGGTTGTTGACCCTAAAATCACTATTAGTCCACAGACACTTTCTCCACCCAGCCACACTTTGCACTAACATTCAAGAATTGTAAGTGGGGGTCTTTTTCTGTCATACAATTTTCCACTTTCACTTTATTTATTTATTTTTATTCCTCTGAGATGGGTCTTGGAGCTGACCAAATATAGATAACATCTCAAGTTCAACGATAATCTGTAAGATTCTCCAAATTACAGCAGAATTGAAGCTCCTGTTCTTATGAAATATGAGTTTTTTTTCTTGTTTAATCATTGTTATCTAGCACTGGTGCTAAAAACATCAATTAAGGGTGATAGTAACATGCTTTGGATCTCTTCTACCAAAATATCAAAAGCATATATCAAATCAAGCATTAACAGTACACAGTAAATGGTAAAGTAGCAAATGAATAAGATGTACATACTCTGTGAGTAGAACTTGTTCAAATAGAACCTTGAGAAATTCAAGTCCACGTTTTATTTTCAAAAGATTTCTGGAATGGCTTCCTTGTATTCTCACAGAATTAGTTTCTACATCATGATCAACCATAGATTGTAATGTCTTGAAAGACTTTGATGCCTCTGCTATGTCATTGACCTGTTAATATCCATGTTTATGTGTTAGTGCTTCACAGGTTTGTGGATGGATATCAACAAATGAGATCACATATATGTTGCTAATAATAAAGTAGTTTATTGGTAACTTACCTTCATGAGGTAATCCATCTCAATGAACTTGAAGTGAAAGCCAATGCTGCCAAAAAGGGGAGCCACAAAAGCACATGCACGGGAAAAAGCTGTAACCTCAATCTCATTTTCAGAGATGATAACGTCTGCGAGCTCTTTGAACGCATCTGCAATTTTGCCAAGAGGTTTTTCATCGACGGCTGTTGTGGAAGCCACTCTGCTTCTTCTTATGATCTCTTCTGTGTTGTTGTCAACATGATCATGTACCAATTGCTGCTGCTCTTTCTTAGCAGTGGCAGAAAAGCACCTCAGAAAAATACCAAGTGCTTTGGGCACTTTTCTCTGACGTCCATGTTGTATATTATCAGACATAGTATAGAAGAGAGAATAAATGATAATACTTCTTCGTCCTTAGTGATATATATATATATATATATATATATATATATATATATATATATATATATATATATATATATATATATATATATATATATATATATATATATATATATATATATATATATATATATATATATATATATATATATATATATATATATATATATATATATATATATATTGTGTGTGTGTGTGTTGAGTGGATGCAAGGAGTTCAAATTGGAATCAAGGTTTGAAAAGAAAGATTACTTTGAACATACAAATGTTAGGAAATTATCAATTTAGTATAAAAGCATTACTATTTATATTTAGTCACCAAACTATATGGACTTAACAAAAAGTGCATATTTTAAATGAAGTTAGTTTCTTTAATTTTTTGTATTTAGTCTCTTTAATTTTTTTGACAACTTGACTGATTAATGTATTGTTTACAAATTAATTATTATTTATATATTATTTCAAAGACTAAGTATACTATAAAGTATGGCTATGTTATCATGTGAACAAGTCAAGTCATCTTATGAATATATTTTTTATATGACATAGTAATAGGTCACATTTTCCATTCATTTCAACTAAGTAACAAATATCAAATTGTACTCCAACTTTCTTATTAATTTAAACATAAGTTTTACTCTCTTTAACAACAAACCAATGTGAACACTGTTTCAGACTTAATGATTGAATTGTTGAAATTTATCTTTACACACAAAAGTGTTCCAAATTGGTGAGCTTGTTCTATTTTCCTTGGTGGAAACAACAGTCATAGGGGTCCAGATAGTGAAAGATGCTCTTCAAAACGACAATAGTGATTTGAATAATGCCAATTTACAATATAGGAAGACACGGCATCTAGTATACAAACAATATTTATGTGTTAGTTAAGAGGTAATAATTTTTTACTACATAAAATAGGTAGCTCAATTGGTAAGTTGAAGGCATCAAAAGAGCACTAATTAAGAGGTTTAAGGTTTTGCTGATTAAAATAGAAAAAGTTGGGAGCTGAAAATAAGGCAACTTCTCATCCTATCTTTATACATTTTCTTAGGTTTTGCGCGAAATTTTAAAGGTTTTCGAAAATACATCTACGAGTAAATTAAAAACTATTTTTTTCACAATAAAATTCAGAAATACATCTTCGAAGTCTTAAAAAGATGTGTTCGGAGATGTATCTCTGAACAAGACCTGCTTCCAGAACTCAGACAACATGAATGGAAATATGACAGCATAATAAAAAACATATCAACAATAACATCAACATTTCATTAAATAAAAGCATTCATTACATATATAGTCACGAAAATAAATTCAACATTACATAATCATTTCATCGGGATGTTGCAACATAATAATTATATCCTCGACGAATCTTTGAATCTTCTCATCCACTTCAATCAGATCTTTGATTCATAACGGAGAAAAATACTCTACATAACCTTTAGATCTTCATCTGTCTTTAGTTCAAGGTTGGTGAAATGAATTTTCCCTTCGCTGTCAAAATGAGGGTGACCGATACTCGAGTTTGACAACTCTGTGATTTTTTAAAAAGCGCAATAGAGTATTCAGTTTGGATATCAGATCTGTGATAGATGTTTCCTCGATGACCCTAAACAGAAGCGGCAGTTTCTCGCTATTAAAATACACAAATGCAAGGTGGGGATATGAACTCATTCTCTCTGGTTTTAGTGTGATAATCCAGAAAATAAGGGTAGAGACACATCTTATTTATACAAGTATTGAATTACTTTGAACCTAAAAATTATTATCATGTATCAGGTAAAATTTTGGAATAATATATCTGAATAAACTACATGTTTTATTACAAAAGGGTGACTTCAGAGTTACATATCCGAATAAATCACATTTTTCATAACAAAAAGAGTGACTTCAGAGTCACATATCCGAATAAATCACACCTTTTTATTATAAAAAGGGTGATTTCGGATTTGCATATCCGAAAACTTACTTGAACCAAAAAAATCAGAAATTTTGCAAACAAGCAAATGTAATGTAAACCAAAGTCATACCATAAAATTAATACGTATTAAATCGTATCAAAATTAATACATACAAAAAGTGTATCGATTACAAATTAAAATGCATCAAAAGATCCAATATCGCATAAATCTACAGTTGGTTCTGCCTTTGACGCTTTCTTATCTGATTCTCTTTCAAGCTCCATCAATTTGGTGAACTATATCATCATCTCCATAAATTAATCCGGACAAGTTTTTGCCTCAATTGTTGAATGTGTCGTCCACTTTATCGATGTAGCTGGAATTGGACACCCAGGTTTCAAATAAACTTGAACAAAATGTAGGCCCTTTGAAAGTAAACCAATGCACATGATGCGTTCAAATGAGTTTTTAGGTGGACCACTGTATAATGGAAAAAATGTCTCTAAGAACTCATATATTGTCAGATTGATACAAAATATGTCATATGCACTTGCTATAAGGTGGTCCATTTTAGGGAAGCACATCCATTTTCAAAACGGTGTTTTACCGCTACGGCGAGGAACAAGTGCACTTTGAATTGAATCAAAAAAATATTTGGACCCGTATAACTTCATGTAGAATTTCCTATGCTTCGTCAACTCTTTCAAAAGTGCGACGCAGACAAGTTGGTGATCCTCCTCTGATTTACCAAGCAATCTGGTAATAGCCCGATAACCGCAATTATCATCATCCTCAATATAACACCCCGATTTTTATTTATTTAATTTTATAAATAAATATTAAGGGAGTATATGTGATTGCAAGTAATTGTTATGTTTCGATGTGTTGTGATGCCTTAATTGTTAGAACATAGTTTGGTTCTACATCCTTGTAACAGTTTTGATGATAACAAATACATGATATTATATATATATATATATATATATATATATATATATATATATATATATATATATATATATAAAAGAAGAAATATGATCTCTAATAATGTATTTAAATATGCAGAAAAATTCTAATAAAAAAGTATAGAAGATGATGAGAGATTTATATTTTGAAGCTCTGATTAGACATAACAAACTTAGAAGCAAATTCGTGTAACACACTAAATAGAAGAAGTTCTGATGTTATAAATTCTGAAGCACCAACACTGCAAGCAAAGCTCTGATATTCTGATAAGTAAAGTTCTGGAAGAACAAAAGAAGTCTCAACGTACCCATCTATACAAATGTTCTAAAGATTTAGCACTTAAGCTACACTCTGATAGTAAATGCTCTGAAATGCAAAAGAAGCTTCAACGTATCATCTAAGTTCTAATGAATATCAAGAAACTCTGAGGATCTAAAGTCTCAATGATAATATTCTTATTCTGATAAGATCACAAGAAAGTAAAGTTCTGATACGTTACAACTCATTCATTATAAATAAAAAAGTAACGGTTGAACCAAGACAAGATCTATATTTTTAGAAAGTGCATTAACAAGACTTTATCAACCTTCCAAATACATCTTCTCATGTCCCTTATGCCTCACCTATAAAAAAAAGACTATGAAGAAGAATCAATACAACATTACTGCGCACTCAAAAATAAATATTTTTACCAGTTATATCTTGTGCTTTAAACTTGTGTATACATCACTGTTGTGATATAGTTTTGTTTAGAAACATCACTGTACACATCCTTATTTGATTTATTTTGTAATACCTTGAGAAATCGAGTTGTGGTTTAGAATCAATAAGACATTGACGGTAGTTATTGTGTCTGTGTAATCAAGTTTTGGTTAGTGGATTAAGACCTTGTTTGAGAGAGGCGAAATCACCTTGGCGGGTGGACTGGAGTAGTTTGAGTTCAAACGAACAAGGATAACCAACGTGTCATACTGTCTTATTTTTGAAAACCTCAATTAAAACCCCCCTTCTTGTGTTTTTCCATTCTTCAATTGGCATTAGAGTGCCTGGTTCTGGGTGCAAATACTTAACCATGTCATAAAAAGATCCTAGCAAGAAAAACACTATGGTGGGACCAAGTCAGATCATCAACAATGATAATCATGATGAGAAATACAGAATTAGCAGCAAACCTCCAATCTTTAATAGTGAGAACTTCGATTACTAGAAAGACAGAATCGAAAGTTTCTTTCTAGCTCATGAAGGTGATCTCTGGGATATGGTAACTGACGGATACATCCATCCAGTTGATGAAAGCGATCAGAAGATCCACAAAAAGAGAATGAAATATCAACAAAAGAAAGATTTCAGAAATCATTACAAGGCCAGAATAATTCTCTTGAGTGATATCTCGTACACAGAGTATGAGAAAATCACGAACAGAGAATCAGCTAAAAATATATTTGACTATCTGAGAATGACGCATAAAGGCAACACACAAGTCAAAGAAACCAAAGCTCTTGCACTCATTCAGAAGTATGAGGCCTTCAAAATGGAAGAAGATGAAATAATTGAGACAATGTTCTCAAGGTTTCAAATTTTGGTTGATGGGCTAAAAGTTCTGGACAAAGGGTACTCAACAGCAGATCATGTAAAGAAACTCGTCAGAAGCTTACCCAAGAATGGAGACCCATGGTCACAGCCTTAAAATAAGCCAAAGATCTGAATAAAATATCTCTTGAAGAACTTATCAGCTCCTTGAGAAGTCATGAGATAGAACTAGAAGAAGATGAGATCCAGAAGCAAGGTAAGTCTCTTGCCCTTAAATCTAATAAAAAATATGAACCTAAAATTTTTCAGGCAAAAGAAGAAAACTTTGGTGGATCTTCGTCAGAAGAAGACGAACTATCTCTTCTCTTTAAAAGAGTCAATCAGCTATGGAAGCACAGACAGAGGAAATTTAGAAATCCCAAAAGAACAAGAAATCACTCTGAATCATCTTCTAGATACAGAAAATCTAGCAACAAAGATATTGTATGTTACGAATGCAATAAACCAGGCCACTACAAAAGCGATTGCCCAAATCTTCAGAAAGAAAAGCCTAAGAAGAAGTTCTCCAAAGAAAAG